TCCTTGCACAAAAGCATTCTTGAAAAACTGCGTAAATCAGATCCTGTTTTAAATGCCTTAAGGGAGCTATTTAGAAGGAACCCTGCAGTGAATCCTTTGGTAAAGCAAATAATCCTTTTGTAATGGGAATAATTTCTCCCAATGTATCTAGTTTTTTTTTAAAATCCCATTTTCATATATCTGTTTTTCTTCAAAGGGGGCCATACCTATCTAAATACAAGTTCATTTGCATATTGATTTTAACAGCAAGCTTCTCAAGGGATGTTTAACCCCAAGGCTCCTTGCAATGGTGTTCCTGCTCTGCTGTTCATATTTTTTAAAAAACATTACAGTAAACCCAGAGATTGCCCAATAGGAATAAAGTTATATATATATAAAAACTCCCTTGCAGCCCTGTGCCCTGTACCCCATGCAAACACCCCACACAAAAGAGTCAGGAGACAGCAAAGAATTCTCTGAATTCTGGTGGCAATATGACTGAAGTCTTTACTCTTTTCTCCCCCTACGTTGCTCTCCCTGAGCCAGGCAGGTGCAGACACAGGGCCCTGGGGCAGCTGGGGCCAAGTGGGGAACAGGGTGTCTCAGACAGGTTCAGTCTAGCGAAATGCCTGCCTGATCCCGCCAGCCTGACAGGACTGGGAATCCCTGCTTCCTGGGGATGGGTGAGCTCAGATGCTTTTATAAACAGTCAGATTAAGGGAGCCAACCAAAACGGCCCCCTCCCCTTCTAGAAAACGTGGTCACTATTGCACTAAATTCCGTGAGGCCCAAGAGTCTCTGAATCCGGGTGACGAGGGAGGAGATAAGCTGCTGCTAATTTAAGGGAGGAGGCATGGCCCCACCGTTTCTGCCTTTGCGATGGGAAACCTTACACTGTTTGTCACTGGCTCACCTACCCCAGAGCGCAGTGGTTGGGTGGCCATGTTCCCCGTAAGGATACTCTGTGTACAACAGGTGACAGGGCCAGAGGCCACTTTTCAAGCATGGGTATTTGAACGTCTTTCTTTCCTTGTCTCAACTTTCCAGTAAGGGTGCTGCCTTCTGCCTCAAACAAGCAACTCTGGCTCTTTTCAGCATACAACGTCTTGAAGATGGACACAAGAGAAGGAAAAATACACACAGCTCCGAGACTTCGACCACCTCCACCAGAAAAGCAGCTTAGCCCCTGGATCGCTTTAACCCAGGGAAGTGTCCTTCTCCCGTCATCCTGGCTGCCAACAGGAAGGCCTGGGAGGAAGGCATTCCTGGAGACTTTTATAGACAATTTACCCTCACCCACAGCCACGATGCTCCATCTGCACCCAGGGTGCCTCGAACAGGTGTGTGGGTGCTGGGGAGGCCAGGCTGGGCTCAGCCGGGGCTCCCTCTGCCCACTATCAGGCCAGCCCTCCGTGCGGGCACAGCCAGGGTGCGGCATGGCAGCCGCCCAGCTGTCCGGGAACGGGGCCACAACAGAGACGTGGGTCTGGAACAGGATCAAGTTCCACTGAGAGGCTCCTTTGCCCGGGTGCTCTTTGTGCTGAGGGAGACAACGGTGCAGAACTTACAATGGCTTCGCACTTGAGTTGGACAGTTCTCTCTCTGTCTAAATTGATTTGTCATTTCCTTTTGAATGGGAGAGGAGGGCAGGGATCCAGGAAGGGACCTCGGGTCCCAGCACTCGGGAGGCCAGGCCAGGAGGGCCGTTCTGTTCCACAGCCACTCTCCCTGCTCCTGTCTTTGTGAGGAGGTAGGGCATCAGAAAGACACAAAGACGCCCTTATAGGGCTCAGCGCCTATTTCCAGAGGAAAAATTTGGTTTCCTTCAGGCGGCCAGAATGGTGGGATGTTCATCCTCCACATCCTGCCCACACAGGCTCTAACCGAGCCCCGGTGCAGAACTCCGGGGCGGAGATGGTCTGGCAGTGAAAGACTCTGATACGTGGGCTTCCATTCCACCTCTTTCTGGGGTGATTTTCCCTTCACCTCTGCCAGGAACTAATGCACAGCCTGTTCTCAGGCTCACTGGTACAGTCACAGGACTGCGAACTGGTAGTTCCCCAGCCCCTACCTGAACTAAGTATGTGAAATGGTGACAGGTCACTTTTTGTGTTCTGAACCCAGCCCGTGGGCTGTGCGCCGGGTGGTCTGAGGGACAAGGCCGAGTCCCCCCAAACCCCCATGAAGAGGCCGGCTGGAGAAGGGACCGGGAACACAGGAGAGTGCCCGCCCACAGGCTTTCCCCTGAATCTGACTGTTCTCAGTGGACTTGGCTGTAGTTCTCAAAGGGAAAGAATTCTTGTTTAATTTTGGTCAGGTTCAGTATTCAGCTGAGGTAAAATCTGAAGAAATCCAGAGAAAAATAGAACGTATGGAATCAGAATTTTACTCTGGGCTCCATCATACATTTATTTTATATCTTAAATGGCTCATTTAACTCTTTTTTTTGCCTCAGTCTCCCAATCTGGAATATGAGGACATTTCTACCCACTTTGTGAGAAAGCATGTTGGCAGTCTTTGGTTCTGGGCGTTGAGAGAGAGGCCAAAAGCCGACGTGACCCTCGGAGGAGCACAGCGTATTGCTCACGTCCCCGCTGACCTGTTGTGCCGCAAGCATGCCTGGGTGTGCGCAGTCTCCCTGAGGGACGGCGAGCGCCTGGGAGACAAGACCACTCCTGTCTCTCTTCCTTCCTCTCCTACAGCTCTGGCTCCGAAAGTAGACCCGAGGCACAGAGAGAGCCGCCCCCCGACACAGCCACCTGCTTCTTCTATTGATTAAGACGGAAAGGAAAGAATGCCAATCCCCATGCTTGAAAATGCAGATTGAAAGCAAATGCACACTCATCTATCTAATCCTCACATTAGCTATGTGGGGGCTATCGCCCCCACTTTCTAGATGAAGAAACCGACATTCAGAGAAGCGGAACGATTTACCTGCAGGCCACATAACCGAGACTTGTGCCCAGCTGTTCTTATCCCACACCCACCACTCACGTTCCCAGGCTGCCCTGGGCCAGCGCCTGCTGCACATTCAGCAGACTCGGGAGTCTTTCTCCAGTGCCATCTTGGTCAAGGTTAAATAAATATGGTTTTCTTCAATGTGGACAGCAAATTGATAATGAGATGATTTGTAACAAATGATTAAACGGCCATCACTTGGGAATCTCCTCCCTCTCCCCGTCCTATGTTTCAAAAGTTAAAGGTGCTGGGTGAGGGTGGGAGCGCTATCATTCTCCTTCCAGAGAAAGAAGTTCCACCCCGCACCCCTCACCACCAGTCGTTCTGCAAACAGATGTCGGAGAGGATCCCTCTTCTACCACCCCGTTACTCTGAAGGGATGATAACAGCCATTGGGGGGTTAAAAAGAGGCAGTGAACCCCCAGTTAATGAGCAGGAATTCAGCAGGCAGTGTAAGATAAATGGGGCTCTCTCTGCTTCTGCTGGAGTCAGCATGAACTGCGGCCCTGCGGCTTGTTTGTGGCAAATGGAGTGCACGGAATATCAAAGGGCAGTGATCCAGAAGAAGACCGACTTTGACAAATTTTAAATTGGCCAGAAAGAAAACCAGCAAAAAAAGGGGGGGAAAAAGAGAAAATTATGCAATTTGCTGTGTCCTGCAATTGTGGCATTGCTGCCTTTGTAGAGAATTAGTGGTAAAAACAGCAGCAACGATCGCTGGATGCTGGGAGCAATTATGAGCCATCTAAGTGAGATGCTTATCAGTGGCTGAAGCTTTTAGAGCTTTCTCTGTGCACAGTTGTGAGGAACTTGCTCTTGAGCTGCAGTTACTTTAATTAAAGTATATGGGTTGGTCAGAAGTAATTATCCTGTTTGGAGAAGAAAGAAAAAAAAAACACCTCAACAACTCTGGGTGGCAACAGACTGTAGAAACAACTTTGCCAATTTCCTGTTGTGCGTGTGCAATTCCCATAAAAGGATCAGGCTGCGGTGGGTTCGGCTTGTTGGTGGTTGTGCCTGATGGCAAACAATGGGACACAAACAGGGTTTACTGTAACCCGAGTCACTGTGTGTGGCAAGCAACCTGGCTCATGGCGCCAAACACCAGGATGTACAAGCTCCGGAGTGGCAGCAAACAGAAGTTTCTGTGTCTGTAGATGGTGAGGATACCATCTCAGGGAGTCCACAAATGGCTCTTCATTAATTAAATTACTATTTGGAACATAGATGAGCTAGCTATCTCTCTTTTTTATACCTTTCATCCACTGCGTTTCACTACCTTTTAAAGACAATCTCTGCTTCTCCGAAAACAAAACAAACCAATAAACAAAAGAAGCTCAAGCAATTATCCGTACAAACACAGCAGGGGGCTCAATGGGAGATCTGAGCAGAATATCAGTGTTTTAAAAGAATCTGAAACTCATTCAGACTTTGGAGTCAACACGGGGCCCCTGCAGTTTGGTCCTGTGTTCAAATCGCAAGCATTTCCCAAAAGCCCCCAAAACAAAGGAGCAACAGAGCCCTGGCTGGACGATCTCGGGGCTGCTGATGCCACAGCCTCTGGAAGCAACAGTGCACGATCTTTATTTCCACTTCTTTAGCTCAGGATGGCCCAGAACACTGCCTGGGTAGGCTTCCAGCTTTCCTCTCCCAAGATACTGACTCTCACATCCCGCAGAAATGAGGCAGGTTTTGTCCAAAGAAACAAGCGGAAACAGGACATTTAAGTCCAGCATATTCTCTGATTAGCCTGGCCCCAACGGCAACTCCTAGCTAATCATTCTTTGCAGGGATATCCAACAAGCCTAGAAAGACGGACTATGTGAACTATAAAAAACTATCAGAAGAAAAATCGGGTGACTTTTGCTTTTTTAGGGCCCACTTTCCCTCCTATTACACACACTATTTCATTCTACCAGGGTTCTTACCATATAGAGGACAGTAAATAAAGATTATCATGAATTTGATCAAATGCTTCAGTGCCTCTTCCCCTGGCCTAGAATGCACTCATTACAAATCAGCTGAATGGCTCATTGATTTGCCAGGAGGACAAGCAGACATACCCAATCGCTCAGCCAAGTGGATGTAGACTGGGTCCACCCGACGCATGGTTTTCACCAGATCCTTTCTTCGGAATTTGATTTCTACTGTCCCTTCTGGCTCCAGAACTGATGCCCTGGATTGAACAGCAAGGAAAGAAAACATAACAAAACAGAAACAGAGGCACTTTAAAGGAAGGAGACAACAGAACAAGGCCAGTTACAATTTGTGGACTAGGAAATAGTTTCATTATGGTTTTGCCCACCCATGGTACGGAAGTAATTCCAGGGAGGGAAGCAGGCACCAGAGAAGTATCTAAGTAAGGTATGAGAAAGGCTTGGCAAAAGGCAATTAAAATAATTCTCATCACACCAGTCTACATCCATCTCAAAGGGAGAAAAATACAGATTCCACCACCTACATCGGATAAGGATAACAGCAGTCACATTATTTTCCCATGGCAGGGGAACAGCCCCCAGCACTTAGGCCGTACAATGAGGGGCCGGTGCTGATGAGTCCCACACGCAGCTGTCAGTCTGCTGGTAGCACTCAGACACACGGGGCCATTCTACTGCTTGACCCGCTTCAGTGTCTGCCTGCTGCTATGGAAATGACAAAGTGAAAGGTCTCAGGTTACTTCTAGTGCATACTAATGATATTCTATTACCAGGAACTTACCCTAAACACCTTTCTTTTTTCTAAGCATTTACATTAAAAAGAAAAAAATACAGCTAACACACTGACTGTGTGTATGGCACTGTTCCAAGTGCTGAGATAAAATTTCTCATAGCAATCCTGTGCCCAGTCCCCATCCACTGTGAAGTCAGGCACGATCATCTCTATCTCACAGATCAGGAAACTAAGGTACCGCAAGTTAAGAGACTTGGGTGAGTCTAACAGGTGACAAAGGTGGACTTAAAACCACACTCTCATTCCAAAATCTGCAGAGGAATCATTCTTTGATCTGGTATCAGATCAGGGGCTAGGTTAGAACTTAAAAACAATAAATTCCTAAGCACTGAACACAAGCCTAATGATTTGACAGTAAAACTACTGGACTCTCCTAAGCAGTTTTTGAAGCAGGAGGCTGACAGTCTGGGAAAAGAGAAACACAAGTGTAATAAAATGAATGGATACAGGAATTGGCATGGAAGATGTCAAGGAAATACGATGTGAAATTTATCTACTTTGGAAAGAGCTGCACACAGATTATGAAAGGAAGCTGGATTGGATCTGGTTTACTTTTAGGATTTTCAGCTATCACCTTTCAACGAAAACCTGGGATTTTCTCTGGAAGTTCTTTGTGTGCTGCAAACACTGTGTTTTCCAAGTCTCTAGAACTGTCAGAGGGAGACACTGGACTCTGAGGGAGAAGCTTTGGTTTGGAATCACAGCATGTGGGCACCGCGGCGGACCTCAAAGACCATCCAGCTTGTTCTACAGACAAGAAGGAGCAGCCCGGGAGAGTAGGGGCTACTCCCCGTTCCTCACCAGTCAGTGGCAGAGCTGGATTAGGCTCTGGAACTAGACTAACAATCCTGTCCTTCCACTCCAACTTGCTTTAAGCTCCCTCTGCCACATACCTGAGAGAGAGAGTGAATAGGCACATCTAAACAACAAACAGGAAGAGAGAATCACTGTGAGTTTGGGGTACCTGGAATAAAAGACTTTGCGGTAAAAGAATCTGGGGTGGGGGATCACACTGAGAGAGCCTGACTCCAGCCTGGTTTCCTTCTCATGCCAACTTACACTATTTGGAAAGTCCATTTTTCTGACCTTGGAGTCCTCTGGGAATGGACAGATGCAAATAGAGTTCTCCCAGTTATAATGTTCTCCAGGAAGAAACCAATAGCTAGAGGATCCCCAGAGGCAGTGAATGGAAATAGGGAAGGAGTGCTACCTGCTTTCTCGGTCAGCGTACATCTCCATGTGCCGGGGGTTGATGGTGGGGTCAATCACGACCCAGGAGCCTCCCCGAAGCTCGGCCTGAGGAGGGATGTAAATCATCACAGGCTGAGAGCACTCCCGTAAGCCATCAATGATGTAAGCACCGAATTTCAGCACTTGGTCGTACATATCTATGGAGAATGAGACAAATTAGAAATCAAGAAATAGTGCTTCCAAACACTGTTCACATCATCATACACACAGAAAATAGTATTTATGATACCTTGTGTCTCCACGAGGTGGCCAGAGGTGACAGGTCTGAGGTTCAGCCACCCCAGGTCCTGTTTGGCCACCCTGAAGACTAAAGGGATTGGTAGCTCCACCTGTATTCGAGACGCCAGGGGATCTTCGAAAGCACAGAGAAGTGCATGATCTTTCACAAGATTCAGTGTGCAGGCCCCATGGATGGCATATCCATTTCATAGTCTCCCTAAATTTCTGTACTCAGGTCTCACCACATTAATTCACACTTGCTCTACAAAGGTTGAGTATTTTTCATGTCAATATATGATCTCTCTCACTACATTAAGTTTTCTGAAGGAAGAGCTAGTCAAGCTCTCTTCAATTCTTCTCATGATACTTAGCATATGATAAACCCTTAATATGTGCAGCTAATGGAAAAGGATCCTTCAAAAACTGCATCTTTCTTCTTTGTATCCCCAGTGTCCCCCGTTCAGTGCCTGGAACGTAGTCAGTGCTCAGTCAGCGTCTGCTGAATGAAGGAGCACATACACACTTTGGAAAGCACACAGTGAGAAAGAAAAACTAATTCTTTACAGGTTGCATTTTTATCAGGGTTTCAGGGAGAGAAAACATTTAAATGCATATGTATTTATTGGAAATGTCTCACAGACACATAAAAAGAGGAGCTAGCTCTTCACTTTGCTAAAGAGTACACTTTGTGATATCCCCCCAGGCCAGGAGCAGCCTGAAGAAAAGGGATACCTGGCACATAAATAGAGTCAGTCCTTGGAAAGTAGTACCGGTGATTTATTTCCCAATAATTTATGAACTTCTTCCCATTTCCTAGCTCACCGAAGTCTAAACATTGCTAAAGCTTGAGGTTTATGATTCCAGATGTTTAATGAGTACTTCAATGGATCCTTTTTAAACACCAAATAACAGGTTCAACGGGGTTCAAACCTTCCTATCAAGGAGAGGATCTCAATTTGGAATAAATCAATTCTGGAACTCCAAAGCAAAGAAGCATTTTCCAGGAAGTTAAGAGCAAAAACCAAATAGAAATTGCTTTCATTGAAGCAACTGGCAAATTAAACTGCCACCTTCTCCAAAGTAAAAATGACTCGGTACAGAAACCCTTAGTGAGCACCGTCCACTGCAAGTCTGTGCAGACTTCAGAAATTCCAAAAATCCAGCTGCTGCCCCAGAGAAAACTCCCTATTCTATGAGAAATGTGTATGATCATGTACACTGTATGTATGATCAGAGGAAAGACATTTATTCCTTTGGGAGGAAAGCAAAGACCAAAAAAATTTACTGCTAATTACACAACTGCTGTATGAAGAGCAGGGAATAAAGGACTTTAAGCGCTTTACGCTAATTCTGTGGTTATGAAAATAATTGCTCAGTTCAAATTATTTTAACTAAATTAATTCTTTAGTGGATATTTCAACCAGTGCTACATAATAAAATAATTGTGTAATTAGCAGTGCATTTTTCAGTGCTGCCAAGACTACAGTCTCAGAACAAGTAACAGAAAGGAGTGACCCTCAACGGTATCAGGCACAGAGAAGAAATGGAAAGCACAGAGGCAGTAAAACAACAGAAAAATGTCACCAAAAAAGTCATCCCATGTAAAAAAGAAAAAAATCAAATTAGAGGTAAATGAAGGGAAACTTTCCAGCCTTTTCATTCACTTGTTGGTTAAAAGATATATCTATATCAAAATCTATCTCTGTATTATCTATGATTAAAAGACCCAGGTCCTCCAAAAGAAAGGAGAGGGGGCAACTTCATTTAAAATGTACTTCCACTTAATTAATTTTAAAATGTTGATTTCTAGTATATGCAAATAGTTTGGGATGAAGCTGAGTGTGTGTGAAATGGACTTTGGTCCCTCCTTTTCATCATCATGGCTAATTTACTGAATACCAACAAGCATGATTGTGTGTGTGTGTGTGTGTGTATACTGACAGGTATCTTGTTCTCATATCCAAGTTACAGGTGAGTAAACTCAGGAGTAAATAAGGAAGTGGCAGAGCTAAGACTTGAACCCTGATCTTCTGGGATCTAAAGTCCACCTTCTGCTACCTTATTCTTAACTCATCATCCTTACTGCATGGAAGGGCCATGAGGCTGAGGCTTTCTAGCATCTGATTCAATGGCTGAGTGAAACAGAAACCAGAAGAGACTTGAAAACGATTCAGTATTTCTGAATTTTGCCTGGATTCTTTGTATGGTCAGAAATATCAGAAATTATACTAACGGTACTACCAGCTTGTATGTGACGGCCAAACAATTATCTTCAGGCCCCAAGATTGAGCAGAAAAGGGGCGTCAAGGTTGATTATAGCTGACAACTGGGGGCTGAAAATAATACCTCCACGTAACCTGGAACACCAGCAAACTCACAATTCAACCGTCAAAACACCCAAAAAACAACAAAGGCTACTGAAACATAAACAAACACATAAACAGACAAACTCTACAAACAACGGGCTCATATTGAATCCCAGCTGCCCCAAACCACACATTTTGAAAGGCAGGCTGAAGCACCTGGCAATAATCTGACACACACTTGTCTGAAATCCATATTTAAGAGACAGAGCAAAATCACAGCCAAGAATAGCAGGGAAGGGGCTATTCCCAAGGGTTTAGGCTAGACATCAGCCTAGGGAATTTTAAAGCTATGCATATGCCGACTGTCAATTCTCAGGCCATAAGAAATGAAACTGGGAATATAAAAAAACTGACAGGTTCTTCATCGGAGAGGTGGGAGCTTAGAGCCTTGTAAGCATTCTGAGCAAAGAATATCTGCATGAATGGTGATCACGCAGTCTTTCCAGCATGTTCTTAGCATCCAGACACCAGCCTTGCCTCAGGGCTTCACTGTTACACGACATGGATAAACCGTGGCCCCCATGTACCAAACAAGGGAGCAGGGTGGTAGGGTGTTTCCACAGTGCCCTGTACTCTCGAAACTGGAACAGATTATACTGACTTGGAAAGAGATGCTCTGTTAGAAGCTGGAGGTAAACACTAGGCATATACAAATTGCATACACATAATGTCTCTCATGAGTTCATTATGCCTGGCTGACACTGTATTTCAACATCCAAGTAATCAGAGACTTTAAAATAGACTCTCATTCCAGTTAAAGTTTTCAATAAATGTTTTTTTATTGTTATTTATAACCTGTCCCAGGAAAAAATAATAAGTATAACATGAAAAGCCAACTGAGAGTGACCCTGTAGCACCAGCAGTGAGGCAGCTTAATATCACTGGGATTTGCATCCTATCAAGCTATTCATGCTGAGGCTGGGACCCTGGTGCTAATTTCTAGTAAATTTCACGCTTGATGTCTCCCTGTTGTGGGTCATTGCCGGTTCGTCTAAATAAACTGCTTCCAAATGGCTCCTCCATCTAAATATTCAGCCAGTTTTTATAATTTAATTTTGCATTATGCTGAATAGCCTTCCGGCCAGATAGAGCTCATTGGAAAAAAAGCACCAATACCATCTTGACATGCTTTTATTTATTTATTTATATTTTTACTGCTCGAATTAGACCTCCTAGGCCGACTAGTAAAGAGTTTTTTTTCCCCCCTCCACTAATGTCAATTTTCAGCATAGCAAGAGCTGTCTCTAATCTTTTCCTACTCATTACACACAATTTTGGAGCCATTTTACCCACAGTGCAGTCGGCTCCTGGCTGTGTGTTTGTGTGCACTGGGGGATGGCATAATTGTTTATTTTCCCTCCCTGCATAATCCCCAGCCAGTGCTGAAACCAAACTGCAAACATCTCCCCAAGGGATAGGAGCGACTCTCAGCTCAGGTCCCGTTACATGAGATAATATGTGGAAAACACCCTGACCTGTATGTGAATACGAAAGGGGATGCACTTCCTTCCACCTCCTTCTTCTGCACTGATCTCCACCTTCCCCAAAGCTTTTCTGGTTTAAGTGATGTGTAAGCAGATGAAACATCACCAAAATTCAGAAAACAGAGTCGGCCCTGGTCTGTATCAGGCCAGTAACTCATTTTTGACCAGTGACGGGGGAAAGGGAAAAGGGGGGTTATTGTTTAATGAGCACAGATTTTATGTTGGGGATGATGAAAAAGTTGGGTATATGCATATATAGTGGTGATGGTTACGTAACATTGTGAATGTATTAAATTTGCCGACTGCACACTTAGAAACTGTTAAAATGATAAATATTGTTATGTATGTTTTACTACAGTAAAGAACCATAACTCATGTCTAAGCTCTTGTCACAATAACCAAGGACAACTCCAAAGCAGAGGGGCGGTAGGTGAATAATAACTTCTCAGGAACCTAGCTCCTCTATTCGAGGGGTATTTTAGTAGACCAGGCCTGGTCAAGATTCTAAAAATCAGCTAGCTGTGCTGCAGGAAGTCAGACAGAGCTGTGTTCCTTTCCCAGATCTGTCATTTCTAGCTAAATAATCTTGGCAAATTTACTTAACATAAGTCGCAATTTATGTAAGTTGCAGATAATAATACAACCTACCCCTCAGAGGTGCTTGTTGTGATGATTATGTAAGATAATGCATGTGAAATGGTTAGCCATAGTTTCCCATGGAAAGAGCTTAATGAATCTTAATTGTTGTTGTCCTTATTGTTACAGGGTTAGCAGCCAATCTAGGCCTGAGCCAAAATATGCAGTGGAATTGAAGCTTTTCCTACAAGAGGCACATGGCAAACTTTTGAACTCTGAAGTTGTTAGACAAAATAGTCAGGCTGACTTATTCCTAAGTAATGTAAGGAAGAGTGAATTTGCAGTGGCCCTCCAGAAGAGATATACCTAAGAACTAATAGCATTGTCTTCTCTCTTAAATGTTAATGTACATCTTCTAGCCAAGAAGTTTGGGATCAAGTGAAATCTCATACTAAATGAACCTCATGTACATAAATGAAAAGGGTTTCAGGCTCCCTTCTCCCGAATTTAGTCTAGTATCATTCTCTTTCAAACACTGTGCTATTTTGCTTATACTTTATACATTATGGCTTTACCATTCTTCCCAAGACATTTTTCTTGACTCCTTGAGGCTATGTCTGTTTCTGCCTTATTTTTGTTTTGTCTGCCATAGCTAGCATAGTTTCTTGCACATAGGAACTCAAAAAAAAGTAGGATTGACTTGTTTAAACTATACTCTCAACATTTCATGGTATTACCACCGCTTTATTATGTTGGTCAAAAAACGTTTTACCTTGACAGTCTATGAAAGTATACAAACATTGATTTGCATTTATTGTCTAAGTCTCCCCTAAGAAAAGTATAAAATTTGGTAGTTCTCCAGCAAATACGGGCAAAGGGGAACTTTACAACTAGAATAACAAAAAACCACTCGAGTCTTCTACATTTTGCCAGGAAGGCCTGGCCATCCAGGGCTTTTCCGAGCCAGGTAAGGGGAAATTATTGGCATAAGGCTCTAATCTCTCTCCAGACACAGCTGGTAATCTATAAAAGGGTAACTTCCCCAGTTTCCTCCCTCAGAGCAGAGACGCTCGGGCCCCAAGGTATGTCCGGGAGCCCTACCGAGACTTCACGCTTTCACACTTCTTCGGTCACTCCGCTGACTCCAGCAGCATCGACTCCTCCCTCCCTCCAGTCCCCTAGCCCACTCAACTCCACTTCAGAACCCCGAGTTCTGTGGTGCTCATCAGCATCCTCATCCTCTCCTGCTATGAAGTTCTGGCCTCAGCATGGCCACAAATCTCTGGCCACTAGAGAGAGACAGCTTCACTATTCAAAGAGACAGAGTGTGTTTCTGGTGGTGTTCCCCGAGCTGTGCACAGTGGTTCCGCACACAGGATTCTCAGCAAATGGGGACCCTGGCTGCCTAATCACTGAGCAATTCCCACAGCACAGAGCAGAGTCTTTGTAATAAAGATCTAATATGCCAGAGTCACAGGCCCAGGGCTGTTGTTGGATAATAATAAAGCATATCACAAATTACCACAAAGAACAGCCTCTGGTATGGACTTTGTTTGTTTTCTCCTGGTAAAGGCTAATTTCAGTATCTGTCTTGGTCACTGTAGAGTGTTAAAGAGTAACAGCAACAGAAAGTATGCCCAGAAAAGAGGGACAGAGACTAGTACAATCATATTTCTCCAGGACCATTATTCACCTGTGAAAGCTAATCCATAACAGCAGTCCACCTAGATAACACTAGCAGACTGTTCTATGTTGTATGGAATTGTAAAACATATTGAATTTTCCCATTCAAGTTGCCACTCAGAAGATATCTCAGAAGGCGTATAATCCCCCGAAAGGCTAGGGCAATGAGCTGCCAGGACACCCAGAGGCTCTGCCCAACACAAACCCTTCCTCCCCCAGCTGTAGGGTTCAGGGGAATCAGTCATGGCCCCTCCAGCCCAGAGGCAGGCCAATCACCTTTCATCCCACCAGAGAAGCCTCTCCAGTTAGCAAAGACCATCAGGGGCAGCCCTTCACGGTTGAAGTCCTTGATGGCCTGATAGGTCTTAAACGCAGAGTCTGGGAACCAAACCTGGCCAGCTTGCTGGATTATCTGGTGGGGAAAATAAAAGAGGAAGACACAATTAAAAACGCCATTTGAAGGGGAATCTCTTCAAGGTGGATAAAGTTTGACTGATTAAACATTCTAAATCAAACTAAACAAAAATTGTAATTCATTAAAATGTTCTTTGAAGTAGAAAAAAGATCCTGGACCTGTGACTTTGTTACACACCCCTCTTTTTGAGTCCTGCTTATATCGTCTCTCTTTAGTCAAAAGAGGGAAACCTCACTGTATCTAATGGAAGGACGCATTCTCAGGATCCTGGTCCAGGCTTCCCAAGGGCAACTTTACACTCAACTCCACTACTCCTCAAAGTGGCCCACTGTACACAGGCTCCAGGCCCTCTCACCGCCATGCTTGGTGCAGCTTTTCCTCTCCTGTGGTTAATCAGCAGACACTCGATGGGGCCCTGCTGAACAACCTCCTCCCCAACGCATTTGTCCTTTTCTGGATCTTATCACGATGTGAAAATGTTATCAATCCTTTTAAAGAGGTGGGTTGTGGTGTTCACAATTTGGCAGACTCCGTTATTAATTCTAATAGTAGCTCTTCTGTATGTGTGTGTTTGGAGAATCTGGGGCCTCAGCATTGTCTCCGCTGCCTTTCTGTAAGACCACGTCCCCAACAAAAGCAGACTGTTTTCTAGCATGAACAAGACAACTGTAAAGGCCTATTTAATTTTTCAGGCAGAATTTATGTTGCAGCACATTTAGAGTCACTTTAAAAGTTCAGCACACGATGGTCTGAAATCATTCAAGGCTGCTGCCTGCCCTTCCCTCTAAAATCGGTGGGTTGCAATGCTCCCAACACATCCACAGGCTCTGCGGAAGGGAAACACCGCTCTGAGCAAGCACAGGCGTGCACAGTACTCGAGGTGACCCACCTTGGCTTCAGAATCCAGGTTTGCAGGATCAGCTGGGATACTCAGTTCCACTGTCCGGGTTTCTACAGCAACTACTCCCACGGGTATTCCTCCTAGTCTGATAAAAAGTTAGCCACATAAGAACCTAATGTATGTTAACATTACAGCTAGTCATTTATTTTCCATTCTCACATCATAACATTGGTGGGGAAAACTAGAAACAAATACAGAGAACAGGGGGAACTCGGACTTGTCTAGGGATAAAATGTGAGATTTTGGATTTGGTGAATATGGTAACTTTTTGTAAGTGTGGTGGGAAACTACCCTCAGAATCACTCCAGTTCCCCACCACAGGATAAATTCAACCCGAGGGTTGTACTGAGGGAGCACCTAGCACTCGGGCTCAACAGCCTAGCACGTGTGCACGCACATGCACACACACACGCGCACACACACATCCATCTTTGTGGTTGGCAAATGAATTTCTCAGTTTACCATAAAGCCTCTCTGATGAAGATGGAGGGAAACGGTCCAAACGGTAGTAGGAATCTGAAACTCTCAGGAAGTGTTTCATAAAGTGATGGCATTGCTGAAATGGAGCTGTAGTTTTCTATGGAGTACTAATAACATGGTTCCAGGTAAGATTTGAGGGTACAGGAGGTCTCACCATTGAATGTGTGGATGGAGAGTATGTATGTAAAAGGGATGAAGAAAAATAAGTGCCAAGCATAGGGAGGTGGCTAAACAACTTTCTTTTTCAGTGGAGAAGGGCAATGCAACAGGGATAACTTTGACTAGTAATCTTGGTGAAACAGGTGATTTGTATTGGAAGTATGTATTTAATTTCCAAGCTTCATTAATTTTAAAAACTGTCCAGGAGCTCAAAGTCTGTGCATCTATGTCTGTGATACCCTCCCAACTTGGTCCTCATAAAGATTTCCTAGTAAAAATCAGAGAGAGATAGAGAGAGAGAGAGAGAGAGAGAGAGAGAGAGAGAGAGAGAGAGAGAGAGAGAGGGAGAGAGGGAGAGGGAGAGAGGGAGAGGGAGAGAGGGAGAGGGAGAGGGAGAGAGAGGGAGAGAGAGGGAGAGAGAGGAAGAGAGAGGGAGAGAGAGAACGAACATGGCAAGATACAGGGTGAGTCCTCACTTGGAAATGTAATTCAATCTCCACTTTCGCAGCTGCATTCCTTGGGGTTGGGGATGGGTTATAGTCTCTCATTCCCCCAAAGCATCTCCATAGCAAACTTTTCCATGAAGGATGGTCTTTGGTTGAAACATTGGCTACTGGAAATGGATTCTTGTCATCACAAGAGGCCTGACAGGGGCCTGAGTGGGGACCACCCACCCCCTTGTCACTTGCCTGCACTGAATCAGAATCAAAAGCCCTCTAGACAACCAGACAATGAGCAGGAGGTACACAGGAGGGTTTAGAAATATTTCTGTTCACAATGATTAACAATCCAACTGGAAACTTGTAATTGCAAAAGCCACCCTAAATCGGTAACTTATAACTTATATATTAGGGCCCATGTGACCTAATAAAGAACATCTTTATCCGAGTATTACAGTTATTTATTGAACTTGAAAACAGCTCAGAACAACTTCTGTTTTCTATTATACTTCATATAAATTTTATCAGGCTAGCACATGAAGATGCTACATCTTGTTTTATAGTGTGTCCCTGGACAAGGTGCCATGGAATAATAAAAGACAATTTACAGCCAATAGCACACATATTCCAAACATACATACCAAAGATGAGTTTTGGCAGCACTTACAGTAACAATCCCAGAAGAATACATTTATATTTATTTCTTGAAATGCCATTGCTTTTGAAAGAAGCTAGCTCCATTTGTGTTTTATATACTGGTGAGCATGTGTATGTGTTTGGAGCAAGAAGCCCAGAACTCATCGGGTGGAAAGAAGGAAAGGAGTCAGAGTGAGTGTCGCAGTAAACAACGGCTAACCAAAGCCCAGCCCGACTGATCTCGCTCACAGGTAATCCCCGTTCTTCCAGTCATAAGTGTAAACCATCATTCTCTTGTTTCCCGTGGGAGGATCTTAAAAACCCTAACAAAGGTTTGGCTTTTGGAGGGTTAAAATCTGTCATGTTTTTTCACAGACAGGAAAACTGAAGTAGAAAAGATAAGAACCAAATTTTCAGAAAAGTTGGTCTGAGTGTGGTGTGAGGACTCTCTATAGCAAACTGACAGGCCCTGGCTAGGAGGGTTTTATTTCTAGTGTAACCCCCACCGGCCCCTCCCCAGTGGGAATTTACCAGGCACAGAGAATGATAATTCTCACCAGGACCCAGAAGCCTGGGTTTAGGTGGAAGACCTGAGATGCGAGAGAAAACGGGAGCTGGTCCCCGTGGGTTTCAGTCTGGGCTGAATCCAGGCCTGACTTTTAGAGTCGCAGTGGAAGGTCCTGCCTGTGGGATCTGCCATCTGATGGCTCCTTGTCCCCGGCAGCAGGAGCCGTGCTGACCTGCTGTACTGAGAGAACTACAAAGCCTGGAATTATTTTCGAGGCTAGAATCTAAATCTCAACCCAATGTGGCATGTTTGAGAACCTTGAGCAGGTGCCACTTTTCACCAAGATAAGAAAAACGGATTGCCCCCGAGAGGAAGGTGAGCTCCAGATGTGGGTCCCTGGGGCAGCATGTCTCTGCAGTGTAGGAAGAGATTAAGATCAGCCTTGGCAGGTGCTCGTTATGGTGAGTGCTACAGATTAGTTCGTGCGGAGCTTGCTGTTGAGTGAAGCACTTCTTAGAGTGAGTATTAAAATTTAATAGAGACTTCAATTTTCTACTTGAAAAATATAGGTATCCCAGCTTATTTTACTCATTCCTGTTTCAGGTAAACTTTTTTTTCTTTTTTTTTTTTTTTGTAACTTTAATTTGGTGATAAACCAGTGTAGTGCATTTCTTGCTTAAATAATCTAGATGCCACGATGGACCTCCTTTCTACTGACACAGAGAAGCAGTCGAGACTGATTTACTTGTCACCTGCTTCCAAAAGAAAATGGTCTTTGGGAAGGGGGCAGGGGTCACTGGTGGGCTGTTGCTGTTTACAGCCCTCAACTAGCTTTTCTTTTAGCATTATAAGAAGGAAATATTGTCAAAACCAGACTTTAGATTAAACACATCACTGAAATGACACATTAAATGATTACTGGGGACCAGTGCTCCGGTTACGCTGCCTTGGATGTGACCATAATCCAGTATTCTTAGAAGTTTAGACAAAGAGACTATTATTGGTAAGGACCTATGTAGTCATGGCCCTTCCCACTCATGTTTTTAGTTGGGAGGAAAAGAGCTTCCAGAACAAGAGAGCTCTTACCTGGCTCTGCCAACCACCACAGTCTGCGCCCAAGGTTGCATGATTTCTGAGAAAGACCCATAGTCAAAAAATCCACTTAACCATTGACCTTTCTGGGCTACAGAAGGAAAAGAAAGAAAACAAGAGAGAAAAGACAGTCAATCCATTAAAAATGCACGGCAACTGGCAAATTTAAGGTTGGATTTGGGCAATTATTTGGGAGAACTTGTTGTGTTTTTAACCAGAGTGTAATAGATGGAAGCATTAGGCAGCTGCACGTTTGTCTGCCTTCAGACACCATCTCCTATCTCATTTGCTAGGCTGCATAAAAAGATTCATTTATCAGCAAAAGCATCATTTATTGTTAAACGATGGGGTTCAGCTAGCAGAGAGAGTTTGCATTGCTTTTAAATAAATAAGTTGGCTTTTTTCAAAATACCACAAACATTTGTCAATAGGCAGCCAAGTCATCAAAGATGTTTTCAAAATGTCTATTTCTATTTTAAAACTCAGCTTACAATTTTGTTTGATTCCATTGATTTTCTTTTAATGGAAAGCTGAAGACAGCTGAATGATAAGTATTAAATGGTCAGATGAAGATCCGAATTTGGGGAAGAGAAAAGGGACTCAGCTTTTGCTAGAAAAGCAACGAGATATACATCCACTTTATTTACAGCTGACGAAGTATAATCTTTCCATAAGAAAGGGCCATGCCCACACACTCGTGACAGATAGCAAAAAATATAATGGTTAAGATGCACACACTTAATGTCATTAACCTCTCTTGCACACAGAATTTCCTTCATTGGCAACATATGTAACTTTCAACATCTTACTTTAAGAAAAAGCAGCAAAAACAAAATGTTTTGCTCCACAGGTATCCATGTTTGACCAGGACCCCATAAAAGCTTCTGCAAATAACTTCCTAGTTTGCCCTCTCAGCTCATGGTTTCTCAGTGATTCTTCTAATTTGAACATGGCCCTCCGCCCCCTAAAAACCCAAGTCCAAAACCAATTAAAAGTGGAGATCCAAGAAAGCTAACCTCTGCTGACTTAAACAGGATGGAGAGTGTTTTATCAGGACTAAACTTGTAATTACTGTGTTCTACATTCCTTGCCTCTATGGCCCCAGTGTAAAATGTGATCATCCATTTCAAAATTATCTCTCTATCGTGAGCCCAAAGCTGATCGTTTAGATTCCGGTCTCGTGTTGGGCGTCAGTTTGAAGAATATCACAGCACTATCTCCTCTAATAAATGACTTTAACTTTTCACCTAGAAGATATCTGCTTTAACTTATCACAGGGAATCATCTGCTTTCTTTAACGTTTCCACTAAATTAAAATCTGAAGTCACTCGATTTGAGAGCGAGTGTTAGCAGCACATAGACAGCAGGATGAATTACTAGGGAGTCGATGAAAAAATATTATTCAAAAACTAGAAAACTTAGTTTATCACAAATTCCATTTTATTCTGTAGATCTCATTAATAATGACCAAGATAATGCCTACCTGCTCATACACGCACACTCACACGCACACTCACACGCACACGCACACTCACATGCATCTGTTCACCCCATGAAGCAGAGCTCAATTTTTGATGGTGGTTCTAAACCAAATTTCTGAATGCATCAGGATACTGTAATTTTAAGTTCTATGCTTAGATCATTTTGTGATTCTTATTTCAATAACAATGATTTAGAATTACAAAATTCATTTAAAAATGGAAATGTTTTCTTCTTTAAAAACCTTCCTGCCTTATATGTTGACAGGGGCTATCACTAGTGTGGGGGGGCTGTACTGCCCTCAAAGAGCAGGCTATGTCCGGTTCACGGGCAGAACCCAGAAGCAGCTAAAATGGCTCCCAATAACTCCAAGGAGAACACTCACTGAATCTTGTTCTGAATTTTCCCAGAAAAGCCCTGGATTTTATCTTGGACTCATAGTTGTTACCATAATAATGATATAAAAATGAAAGGTAGGTAGAAGATTACTATGGTGATTTTTCTGGCTACGTAAGAAAAACTATTTAGTTTTATTATTAATAAGAAAAGGCATTGAAAGACAACAGGTAAAATTTTAAATTAAAATCAATCTTCCTCTGGTGATTTCTCTACACCATCTATAATTAAGCTTCAGATGAAGCCCCAGCTCCTAAGTAATAGCTGTGTGACCTTGCACACGTCATTTTAACTTCTCTGATCTTGTAAAACGATGATGCCTTTGTATCCCTGAGAGGTAGTAAGCCCAAATAAGATAATGTATATAAAAATGCTCTGTCGTCCCACCTGGCTTAGTGTGGGTGCCCACAAAGGTTTATTAGGTCTTTCTTATGAAGACCTCTTTCTTTTTCAATAAAATCACAATGACTCAAATTTAATTATCTTCTGCATTCCACTTTTCTTTAAGATAATATCCTTTCTTTGAAATAGTTGCAAGAAACATGCAAAAAAGAACACTTTCTCAAACAATCTGAAAAAAATAGATTCGAAATGTAGCAGGGGGATTTGGGGCTTCACAAAAGAGCTTCCTAATAAGTATGGTTTGTGAAAACAGCCAAAGGACTGACTATATGGAGTTACCTTTGTTTTTGTGTTTAAAGTTAGATAAAATCAGTCACAAGACAGAGGTATATTAGATAAACATGGAGGAAGAACTTGTTCCTGTTCTCTAGATTTGTAAAATTAAAAGTTCTGGACAGTCTCTTCATGAATAAATGATCTCACATTAATGACTAGAGCAGTGCCAACACTATCACCACTGTGGTGAGAAGGGAAGGGCCTGTGCAGGGTCAGCGCTCAGCGGTGGCCTGCTGAGGAAAGTGCAGTCACGCTGTACAGGAGGGATCACAAAGACCTTTCCTAAAACTGATCTGACTGATCTGTTTATAGAAACTGAAAGGTCAAAGATTCTGGTCCTACAGTTCTAGGGCTTTATGGCTTATATTTAACTGTGTTAAAGTCTTTGAACCCACCAAATATTATTCTATTTAATAGCAGAATAAATAGAAGAAATGTATTAGTGACTGGACTACTTATGACTCAATGGCTGATATGCAAATCTCATCTTATTATTTTTCATTTGTTCTTGAAGAATTTTCCACCTTCTTCTTCAGAAATAATTTTCCAGATTTTCCTCACTTCCAGGTACTTAGCAGCTGTTTTCTTGATCACAAGCTATTGTGCGAAAATTGGTTTGTGCTGGAAAAAGCAATGGAAAGGCTGAGGGCCAGGGGCCATAGAATCCTTAAACATGTACATACTTGGGTGAGGACGGCCTGCCAGCATCCATCGAGGATCATACGGGGTCTTTGTGGGAACAAACTCGATGATTCTATCTATAGGATCCTTGGAATTCAGGATGGGAACTGAAATGTTTACACTCTGAAAGGAGATTGGGAGGGAAACAGCACAGCAATCAGTAAACAACAGTCTTATACTCCAACTCAGCAACAGTCATGACAAAGGCAGCAGGGCCCATGTACGGAACGACACCCATGACCCCCAACCATCAGCCAAAAGTGGGCCAAGCCCTGGGGAACACGCGGAGGTCTCAAGTCCCATGTAGGAGCCTGGCACAAAGTGGTGCCTTTTGATTGTTGATTTCAATATGCCCAGGCCTTCTGGGAAGCTCCCCAGAGGGAGGGATGACTATTAGAAATGAGAAAACCCACAAGGAGGAGAAAGCCCTAATATGCTGGGATCGGAGCTCAGATAGGCCATGAAAGCTTCTGTGGCTGGAAAACATCAGAAAGGGGCCTAGCCAATGAATTCGAAGGCATTTTAAAGGTAGAAGGCAAAAGATGGCTCTAGGGGAAAAAAAAAAGAAATAAACCACTTTCAGAGGAATACTTCATTTAAAAGGTCCTGCACTGTTAAGAGATCTCAAGTGCAGAGGCAGGAGGCTGCAGCAGAACGGCTGGGTGCCGTGTCAGTGCTGGGTGGGAAGGGCTCACCTTAGGCATGTAAGACAGCCAGTGCAGGACAGTGAAAACCCCCTCGAAGTCATCACAAACAGTGCTGTGGGTCACCCCATTGTTGTGCATGATCTGGATGCCGCCGAGCTGGTTATTGGAGGTATAGACTTCCCGCCCGAGAACCTAGAGAAACAAGCAACAGAAGAGACACTTGTCTTGACAGAAATAAAGGCAAAGTCATTTTTGTGATTCTCACTAAAATGGGTTCTCTCCTCCACAAGACAGAGACTCCAGTTTCTGGGACTTGTTTTTTCAAAGGGACTATCTGGACCTTCATCCAAAAAAAAACTCAAACAAACAAAAACCAAACTTAGAAAACAACAACAACAAAAAAGGGAAAGACTTTTAAACAATTACACATACAGTTGCAATTTAAAGACCAGCAAGCCTCTCCTTCCCTCTCTCCGAGCCCTCACAGATACACACAGCACATTCCAACTCAGCTGAAACCACTGCCGTGGGTGAGGCTGGGACCCCGGGCCAGTGGCCCCCTCATGATCGGCAGGCCTGGCGGAGTTACTGCATGGACACAAAAGAGGTAATGTGCCTGTCTTCGACAATCTTCAGTGACAAGTCTCAGCTAAAGAAGTGCTGTCATGTGTGGGTGCTTCTTTTTTTTAAGGATTACTTTTCCCCTTGTATTTAATTTTTGAAGGTGGTCCCTACATATAAACCCTAGAGCTGACAAAATCCTGAAGCAACTCCTGATGCAGACCTGAACCCTCGAGTCTGCATTCCTTTGTGTGCTGGGTGCAGGGCAGTGATTTATACCCAAGCCCGCCTCTCCTCCCTCTGTCCTTCCCTCCCAAGGTTCCAGGGAACTCGGCCTCAGTGCCCGGGGGCTCCCTGGAGTTTAACCCTTGTGAGGTTGAAGGGCATCTGCAATTGGAAACCACAAAGTGTCCTTTAAAGAAGAAAAAAGGAAGAAAGAAATATTCTTGAACTTGGAAATTGTAGGGTTTCTTTTTCTCTTGAAGACTGGTTAATAATTTCTTTTAGGGAGGGAGGTTTTCTGACCCAGCAGATGGAAGCCGGGCAGCCTGATCACTGGCTGTCGCAAACTGCTGAGTGTGTAGTAATTGCCAGTCATCTAGGGGAGCCCTGGAGAGCTCTAAACAGTTGTAGAGCGCTTACTGTATTTTACCTTTTCTTTTCCCTCTCCCCTCCTCCTTTGGAAAATAACTATGGCACAACATTTCTTTCTTACCAACTTTTATTCATTTCCAGTCTCTGGGGTAGAAGCTAATGAACTGAAAGACCAGCAAGTTCTGCCTGTACATTCCCATTTCCCCCTTCTTGTTAGGAGCTTCGAGAGGTTCCCCTGCATGCTGCTGGGTCAGCCCCTACATTAAGACCCTCCAAAGGCTGAGGAAGTTGGTGACCAAAGTAATCACCTCAGTGTGACCCACCTGGCACTGGTTCTATTTAATGCTTCATCTAGGAAGGTGGAAGAGACTCTTCCGAAAAGAACAGAGAAAGCAAAACTGCTCTCAGGTTACCGCTCTCCTTGACAAGGAAGTGCAGAGAACAAGCCTTAGCGGGCAGACCTGAGCTGAGCAACATGCCGGCAGCTCCTCTGCAGGAGCCCCAGGAACAGGGGAGACCCCATCTGACCACTGGGCTCCCGTCCTCCTCTCAGTCTGTCTTTAATCTCTGCCCAGGCACTGCGGCTCTTTTCTCATTCTCCTGCTGTCTCTTTCCATTTGCCCTCTCTCTGACTGATACACTGATCTCTCGGTCACTCGGCTTTCTGCTCCACTGAGTCCATATTACTAATAACACCTCCGCCACGGCCAGTTTACCTCATGAAGGCAGGAGCACATCATTACAAAATAAACTCATAACTTTGACATTCTAGCAAATACACGCCGTTTGTTATTTTTATGGCTTTAGTCTTTCTAACAGGCAGAGGGCATTACGTACCTGTTTCATTTATATCTTTTAATGTGTGCACACATGCACACTCACACACGTATCAGGAAATAAAACGGAATAAAAAATCCAAGACAAAACAAATAGCCAAAGCAGAGAACGGATGGGGGGCCCTCGTGGAAGCAGAAGCCCTATCGCTGGGGGAGGCCATGCTCCTTCCGATCTGGCTCTGGTTTTATGGGCGTCATAAACCTGATGGCCCACAACTGGTCCTTCTGGGACAGACTGCCTCTCTGCCAGAAGTCATTCAGTGTGATCAGCAGTATTTTTAATTATTAAAATAAAATTGAAAAGGGGGAAAAGAAATAAAAAGGAGACATGCTGCTGACCCTGAATATCTGATATTCACAATCTGTGCAAGGAGCCCAGAACTTTGCTTGCCTGAGAGAGAGAGCTGGACCACCTTCTACTGAGAAACACTGTTTTCTCTCCTGTGAAACACTGTCTTTAGTGCTTGATAAATACCCGACCACTCAGAACTTCACATCTCTCCAAAATCAGTGAGGGATCGGTGAAGAACCAGCGAAGGGACCGAAGCAGACCAAGAGCTGCTTAGCTGATCGAATAGCCCTTCCCCAGATGTCCCTGCGCCTCCTTTCAGAGAGGAAGAGCATCCTGGACCAGGCCAATCCCAGAGGCTCTGCTGCTTGCCCATTCTGCCCCATATTCTTACAGACGAATGGAGACAAACTTGGAGGAGCAATAATTTAGTAACTTAGCAGGTCTTCCCTCACAAGTGGAAACTCAGGTTCTGATACTTTGGCATTGTTCCGAAAAGGCAGCAGTTCTACATTTCTCCTCTTTTGGATTCAGAAAGAAACCTGACCAGGGGTTACCACAACCAAGAACATTATTCCTGGCCTAAAGAAATGTTTATCATGTGAGAAGATTCATTTAATTTGGGAATTAAAGAGAAAAAATAAAGGGCAGACTAACAGAGTATGTGAATGGCTCGCTCTGTCCAGCCTTATCTTAGGAGGTCGGGGGTCGGGAGGGGAAGGACAAAGAGAAATGAAACCTGCTTCACTAACCACAAACAAATGCTAACAATCATAGCTACTTAACAGTCGGTGAAGAGAAAGCAGGACCCTCCAGTTCATCTTCAATGACGGTGCGTATGGAGCACGCACCAGTAGAATGAGGGTGCACACAATAGCTCCTGATTTATAGGGGTCATTGCTGACTCAAGTGGTTTTAATGATTTTAGAATACTTCAGAACAAAAGCTCCAACCAAAGAAGCAGAATCTGGGCTAGGACAAAACCCATTCTGCCTAATTCTGAAATGATCACGCTGGAACAGACACACAAACCCTGAACGGCATCCAGGAAGACACGGACAGGGACCCACACAGACAGAACCACTATTTTATTCCTCGATATGTTGCCCTATCAACCTTCTACAGAAAAATTTGGGGGTAAACAACTCTCATCACTCTAATATTTTCATGAAGAAGGCAAGTTTCATTCATCAGTTTTTTTCAACTTTGACATAGAGCATTTCTATGCAAGTCAAGTTGCTTGCCATGTTCCATTCCCCAAGTTACTCCTCTCACATTGTCTACACCATGATAAAAACTTTTCATTTATCTGCCCAACAAGCATCAATAACCATTTAAACGCAGGAGCCATCCAAACAGAGGCGACTCTCCTGAGGCCCCACCCTGCTGCTCCCCAGGTCTAAGTGGAGAAGCAGTACCAGGTAGTATTAAAAACAGGCACCATCTGAAGAGTTCCCATGCTGGCAGAACTGAGTAAGGGCTGAGTCTGAGAGGAAAGAGGATTCTCATCTACTCTCAATAAACTTAAGCCTCACCCACCATTTTATTCATTGGGGCTGGCAGACTTGAGAATTATGGGCACCGCACAGAAGCCAGTGATTAGCAGAGACACAACTGTTAAAGGTTCTACCAAAGACGTTACATAGCCTCTAGGAATTTTTAGGTACATAAGAAGTACAAGCGAATGCAGTCACACATACATGCCACGGCCTCTGCTGTTCTTGCTCCTTATCTAGAGACACTGCAAACAGCTCAGGTTTACCACAGCTGACAGGCAACAAAAACAGTCTAATATACCGCCTGCTCTCTCCCTTAAATCCCTTTTTGGTGATCAAGATAAACTTGTTCTTCTTTTCCCCAGTGCTCCCGACATTTGACTGAAGTGGCGGAGCATTGTGAAGTTTTGTGCAAATGAAATCACTATGTAATATGGAATGAAGGTAGTATTTACTTGTCAGGATATTTGTCAGCTCAGGCATTGAGATTTCCAAGTTTCATAGATGCAACTTAGCTCAATTTTGTTAAAAATTGCTTTTGTCCCAATATACACATTATGTTAGGGACTCTCAGACTTATAGGCAAATGTTTGCAATCATATGCTCAAGATGTGAAAAATAATGATGCATATCAGTGGAATAAAAAGTGAAATCTACCACTGCTTTCCCCTCCTTTATCCAGTTTTCCCCCCGTTAAACAATCCTAGGTGGGTCAGGGCAATCTTTTATTTAAAGAAGCAGGGAGTATAAATTCTTCCCGCATCGGAGAATTGAGAGACACAAGCTGGGTCCTTGTTGCAATCCTCCTTCTCATTAGGATATTTCCATTCTCAAGAGGGTCTGAGGAGGGGTTTTGTAAATTTCCTGAGCAATAGTCATCCCCGGACTTCACCCATGATTTTAGATTCACCCTGGGATCTGTCAGGTTATTGATAAAGGTTTGGCTAAGGCAGAAAGAGAGATAGAGATGAGAAAGAAGAAGTGGAAGCAGGGAGTGATAAAATGGGGACAAAAGAAAGGAGGAAGGATGAGAGAGAGGAAGAGGGAGGGGGAGAGACAAGAGTACAGGAAGAAAAAAATGCAATAGCTCATCTACTCATGCTGCTACCACCTTCCTCCCTGACCTGAGAGGACTACATTTTTAAAAGCTGACAAGTAATTCAATCTCCAATTAACAATTTTAAGTGGTGTAGCACATATTACTGTGTAAATGTTTCTCCAGGAATATATCCAAGGGTGAGTGGAATTAAATCTCTAGGGAGACAGGACCAGTGAGTGCCTATGTGATCAAGGATGTTTGGGGTTCCAAAACACTCTCTCTTAATACACACACAGACCCAGGGTTACGACTTGCTTCTCCCCTTTATTGCCATGATTGCTACTGGAAAACTTGAGTGCTGGTTGGCAGCTGGTAGG